GTTCTTGCGTTTTGTTTTCATTGAATATTAAAAATAAATAATTATGTGCTATTGTTTAGAATTTATGTTAAAATTTAATTAGCTTTTGGTTCACGATTGTAATTGCAATAGTGGATTGTTTTTTTAAATGTTTGTTTACAACAAAAATATCATTTTGTTTGAATACATCTTCATATTCACTTGGTGTGTTGGGCACGGGTTCTTTTGATGGTTTATGTATAATGGAATGGTGCACTTGGTTATATATTCAATATTTTTTCTATTTGAGTATTTAATTGAATTAGTGCTAATTGGTGGTTTGTTACACACTTAAACTTAAAAATGTAAAGTAATAATAAAATTATTTAAAAGAGCAACACGCAAGTTTCTTGCTCGTTCTTCTTGTGATGTCTCATCACAACAAGAACGAGCAAGAAGCTTCGGAACGAGCGGTAGATTAAAAAAAAATGTAATGACTATTCAAAAGTGCTTCAATGTAAGTTTATTTGAATAAATGATTTTCTATTCTATTCTATTCATTGCTAGCAATGTCATCTCCCTAGAAACCATCGTGATAAGTTCCTAATGAATTTGCCACGATGGTCTAACTGATCTGACCATATTTATCTTACCATCCTCCACCAGCGTATACCGTTACCCTCACAAAGGGGATTGTTATTAGGGCATTAATTCCTAATGAATTTACCATGATGGCCGATCTTATCTAACCTCATGTTCATCTTATCATCCTCCACTGGTGCCCCGCCAGCGTATACCATGGTAAGCAGTGGTAAACCATGGTCACCCTCTAACCCAGTGTTTCTCATAGTGAATCCCACGCCACATAGGGTGGCCCGACAACCTGCGGCTATCAGCTACAATTATGTGAACGGTGTGATGTCATGCTCGGAATGTGCAAGGCTTTTTATAAACAAAATTGTCTACATAAGCGACGTGACAGCACATCAACGGCAGAACTGGAGTTGACAGTCGTCGTGGCCGAAATCGGCCGGAGATCACACACACACACACAGAGTGGCAATTTTATTTACATTCACAATTTGCACAGGCTGGTGCAACATTCCATCATCACTCATTAAATAAATGTGATTATATATGAGGATTCCCAAATGGTCCAAAACCGGAGTTGACAGTCGCTGTGGCCGAAATCGGCCGGGGATTACACACACACACACACAGGGTGGCAATTTCATTTTTAAGGAAATTCGAAAATGGACCTTATGAAAATCATATGGATAGTGAATTTTACATTCACAATTTGCACAGGCTGGTGCAACATTCCATCATCATTCATTAAATAAATGTGATTATATATGAGGATTCCCAAATGGTCCAAAACCGGAGTTGACAGTCGCCGTGGCCGAAATCGGCCGGGGATCACACATACACACACAGAGTGGCAATTTTATTTTTAAGGAAATTCGAAAATTGACTTTATGAAAATTATATGTATAGTGAATTTTACATTCACAATTTGCACAGGCTGGTGCAACATTCCATCATCATTCATTAAATAAATGTGATTATATATGAGGATTCCCAAATGGTCCAAAACCGGAGTTGACAGTCGCCGTGGCCGAAATCGGCCGGGGATAACACACACACACACACACACAGAGTGGCAATTTTATTTTTAAGGAAATTCGAAAATGGACCTTATGAAAATCATATGGATAGTGAATTTTACTTTCACAATTTGCACAGGCTGGTGCAACATTCCATCATCACTCATTAAATAAATGTGATTATAATAATATACGAGGTTTCCCAAATGGTCCAAAACCGGAGTTGACAGTCGCCGTGGCCGAAATCGGCCGGAGATTACACACACACACAGAGTGGCAATTTTATTTTTAAGGAAATTCGAAAATGGACCTTATGAAAATTATATGGATAGTGAATTTTACATTCACAATTTGCACAGGCTGGTGCAACATTCCATCATCACTCATTAAATAAATGTGATTATAATAATATATGAGGTTTCCCAAATGGTCCAAAACCGGAGTTGACAGTCGTCGTGGCCGAAATCGGCCGGAGATCACACACACACACACAGAGTGGCAATTTTATTTTTAAGGAAATTCGAAAATGGACCTTAAGAAAATTATATGGATAGTGAATTTTACTTTCACAATTTGCACAGGCTGGTGCAACATTCCATCATCATTCATTAAATAAATGTGATTATATATGAGAATTCCCAAATGGTCCAAAACCGAAGTTGACAGTCGCCGTGGCCGAAATCGGCCGGGGATCAAACACACACACACACACAGAATGCCAATTTGATTTTTAAGGAAATTCGAAAATGGACCTTATGAAAATCATATGGATAGTGAATTTTACTTTCACAATTTGCACAGGCTGGTGCAACATTCCATCATCATTCATTAAATAAATGTATTACCATTATATTTGAGGATTCCCAAATGGTTGCGGTTAACGTTCGAAATTTCATCACTAACTGTACAATATTGCTTAAAAAATGGCGGCGATGATCGTGGTTTACTATTCAGTTAAATTGTAATAATGGGTACAGTTACGTCGCCGAATTATGGCTCGGCGCAAGTCACGAGCTGTGAGCGATTCTTATAACCAGCGACATTCTGTCAGGCATAAAAAATATCATTCTCAAAATTAACAAAGTTTAAAGTAATACTTTTCGAGTAGTGTCGTAGACCCCTTGCCATATTTTTCGGTAGATTCATTCTTACCTGGTATGGACTTTTTGTATATTTCTAACTGTAGTAAAGTTTAGTGTTAAAACCATAAAGTAAAAACAAGATGACCGCTGCCGCAGACCTTGCAGTTTGTCATAGACCCCTGGGGTCGATATAGACCACTTTGGGAATCACTGGACTAGACGGTGTTGTCGCTGCGTCGGTGTGAATTGTCCTGAAATATTATTATTATTATATCTATTTAATTAACCATTATTTATTAAGTATTTATGTGCCTTCTTTTTTATTTATCTATTTAACTTTAATGCACAAAAACAATGTGTACATATGGCGGACTTAATAGCTTGTTCATGCACGGGATTTTCATTTAATGTTAGACATATACACCTATATAAATAAACTGGCTTTTAAAAAAAAGTCATTCAATTGAGTTTCTTGTCAGTTCTTCTCAGTTGGATCAATATACTAAACTGGACGGTAGGGAAAAAATTAAAAATATAATGTAAAAAATTTGAAGTTCATAAGCGGCTAATATGTCCTTCATGAATAAATGATTTTGAATTTGAATTTGAGGCATTGAGGTATCACGGCGGTTTAGAAATGTGACGGCCTCTGGCGGTTTAGCACACCGATTTACTTCCAATGGTCGCGGGTTGCACCTTGCACGGTGCAAACATTTTTATTCATGACTATAGTTGTATGTATCTATCTGTGGTAGTTTGTATTCACACGTTTCGACTTGTAAATGTAAACTTACAAGGATTATTTAAAAGAGCAACACACAAGTTTCTTGCTCGTTCTTCTTGTGATGAATAAGCTTTCCGAATGAGCGGTAGATTAAAAAAATTGTTATGACTATTCAAAAGTGCTTAAATTAAGTTTATTTGGATAAATGATTTTCTATTCTATTCTATTCTATTCTATTCTGAATTTAAAAATGAATCTGTATTATTGTCAACATATTTATTTATTTGAAAAGAGTACGAGCTGAGCTTCTCTTACGAGTCAGTTCTTATCATCTCAAAATCATTCCGAACTGACAGTAGATTTGAGATATCATAAGAGTCTGTAATAGACCTACACGAATAAAGATATTATGAATTTGATATTAGTTAGAATAGTGAAAACGCTATCGCCTGTGACTTGGAGCGTGTCGGCGGACGGTCATCACCTGCCGGATAGGTAATGAAGGTTTTCGACAGCGTTTTTGAGCCGCGGAAGTACAGTTTTTGCGACAATACTAGAAACTTCGCAATGGCGGTCTGTCTGACACTTGACGCGATGTCAATTTGTATGACAGATGTATTATATAATCATTATTTCACAGCCAGTGAGAGGAGTCATTCAAATTCATTGAAAGTAACGGCTTTGCATCAGTCTTAATTTATACATATAAATAAAATTGGAGTGTCTGTTTGTAATATTGAAATAACCGTTTTTTACTACATGCATACGGTACATACACTGAAATAACATTTTTTACAATTTTTGTCTGTCTGTCTGTTTGTTCCGGCTAATCTCTAAAATGACTGGACGGATTTTAATGGGACTTTTTTGGTAGGTTGCTGATGTAATAAGGTGTAACTTAGGCTACTTTTATTTTAGAAAAATAAAGTTAAATTCCACGCGGACGAAGTCGCGGGTACAGCTAGTATAATAATAATCTCAGGATAATTCACACGGCGCCATCTAGACCAAAGTTGAGCTAAAGCTTGTGTTATGGGTATTAAATAACTGATACAAATACATAGAATTTTTTTTTTGTAAATACATACTTATTACACATTGAAAACACCCAGAACGATACAAGCAATCATACTCATGAACTAAAATGTTTGTGCCGTGCGAGGAATTTAACCCGCGACCATCGGAAGTAAGTGCTAAACCGCTGGACCACCGAGGCAGACTTCCGGTCGCCGCTCCGATCGATCCTCCATCCAATTCAAACGGGGATCGAAATTACGACGGCCTGAGCCGAGGTTCGAACCCAAGCAGTGCTCTCAGAGTAAAGTCGTATCCGTCAGGCGGGAGTTGGCCTTTAGCCGCTCCATAAGCCCTTTCTTTGGTTTGGAGTGACATCTGCACTCGTCCCCTATCGTCCGGTGAAGCTGTAAAGGCCAGCTGCGTCCAACAGCATTAGAGTAGTCCGAAAATAGACTACTGTAGGTTTCCATGTCATTTATTCACCATAGATCTAATCGCTAACCGGTAGTAGACCATAACATCGATCTGTAATCATGATCATCTTGAAGTATAATTAAAGTTTGTTTGACAAATGAGAGTTTTGTCTTAAATTTTGTATTTCATCTTTCACAGACGCCGAAATATTCCAATCTGATAATAAATAAAACAATGGGCACTACTACTGGAACTCGAACATAATGAACGAGAGTCGCGAGCGAATTCGGCGCGAGAGAGAGAGGGAGAAGAACACATATACCTCTCCTCGTCTCGCGCTGCGCCGCGTGTTGCTATTGGCTGAAGGCAGGCAGTTTCGGGAGGCCGCTGCTGTTCTATCCCGGTTGGGACCTGGTGTGCTGCAGACGGTGGCTGCTGAGCTTCCTATTGATTTGCTGGTGGAAGCGTTGCCGCATTCTGCTCATCTTATTGAAACTCTACTAAATAGGTAAGTTTTAATTGTACACAGTATGTCAGACTGACATACTGAAATACGGAATGGTGCACCTGCCTGCGCTAACGGTTTACGCTGGCGGGGCACCAGTGGAGGATGATAAGATGAGCATGAAGTCAGGTCAGTTAGCCCATCGTGACAAATTCACCAGGAATTTATCATGATGGTTTCCGGGAGGAACCGTGTGGAGGTCAACCAGATATGGTACATTGCTGGTAATGGGGTCGAGTCCACATTACTAACAATTCCCTTTCCCCCCAATTAAAGTAGGTTCCTATAATAGTAGGAGTGTGTGTGTGTGTGTGTTTGTGTGAATTATATTATTATAAAGAATTTCTTTATATACTGTTACAGAAAAGAGAGAGAAGATGTTACACATGAAAAGGCTATATTCGTTGCAAAATTGTTATATTGGAGTCTCATTAATAATCACGACCTCGATTCAAAAGTAAAATGCACGGTCGTAAAGCATGGACAATGTCTGGTATGCGGTTTTCTTGATAATGAGTTTGCTGTTCACATATTTTTTATCATTACTCATTTTATGAATCATTTCATTATAAAAAAAATGTTAGTAATAAACTCATTAAAAAATTATGTACATATTTCATTTACTAAAAAAATGGCCTCAAAAATGTTTTATTACATAAATTTTATGTTGTATGTAATAACTAGCAGACCCGACTACACGTTGCTGTGGTTAATGCTATGTTTACATTCAGCCGCTTCTCCTGCCACTCGCTCTGCCGAAAATATTGCCGGGCGACAACTGAGCGAGAGGGCTGAATGTAAAAACACGCTGCCACTCGCGCTGCCAGTCCTTTGACTCGCGCACGACAAACCGACAATCGAGGGAGCGCCGGGCAGCGCGAGTGGCAGCGCCAATGGCATGGGAAGTGTTTCCACTCGTGTTTACACTCTCGCGCTGCTCACTTCCCTGCTCACTCGGGCGAGTGTAAATTGGGCATAAGATTCTTGAATAAAATATTGCTACTAGATTAAAGACTATAAATTGAGATGTAAGCTATCCTATCTTTCAAGTTGGATCAAATTGCACACAATGTGCAAATCAAATTTGCAATCGGTTCAATAGTTTAAGGGTCCGTCGCGGACAAACAACGTGACACGTAATTTTTATATATATTTATTTTTGTTAAATTTAATATATCATTTTTCCACATTTACTTTTGAGCTTCTTGCATCTGACTTATTACCATTTTAATCAGATAATATTTTGTTTTAATATAAGGATCTGCTCATCAGTGGAGTTAACTAAATCAAATTTTCAATCGGTTCAGTAGTTTGGAGTCCATCGCGGACGAACGACGTGACGCGTAATTTTTATATATAAAGATAATAATAATATTTAATTCAGATTATTCAGTGTTATTTAAAACTTCTTAAATCTAATGTTAGTAGGAGATAAAAAAGTATATAAAACTACCAATATTATAAATGCGAAAGTTTGTGAGTCTGGAATCTGGATGAATAGATGGACGGATGTTTGAAACTCTTCACGCAAAACTACTGAGCGGATTTTGATGAAACTTTACAATAATATAGCTCACACATCACAATGACATATTGGCGGTAAATTTCACAAGGGTGTACCCGCGAGTTAGTTATATTGGCTGTAGATAAAAAGTCTACAGCCGAAGAGCGCAAAAAAAACCAAAACATATTATATATTATATTTAAATGAAGTATAAAAATTACAATTTAACTTATTAACTATTATTGATGCCAATTGGTCGATGTTAGAACCAAGAGTGATTCAACTACGATCGCGTTCGCGACTCGACGGTACGTCTGGGCGCATGGTACGATGCGCCGTATTGAGGCCGCTGCCTATACAGCGTTTTAACGTTTCATGATTTCGTAACGAGCTAGTATATTATAAATGTCCACAAAGGCCACAGAGACCTTAATGTGTAAATATAGAAATAATGATGTACTGGTTTAACGGGAAAATTAAATTTCCGGTGACCAATAGACTCTATCTGAGCGCATCAAACCGTCACGAGTGGATGCGCGTGCGCAATCCCGCGCCGCGGCTTGAGAGCTATCCGTTATTGCATTTTATTGTTTACTACTCGCCGCGGCTTCGCCTGGGTGTACATGTATTATATATATAAACCTTCCTCCTGAATTATTCTATCTATTAAAAACCGCTTCAAAATCCGTTGCGTAGTTTTAAAGATTTAAGCACACATAGGGACGGACAGACAGCGACAGCGACTTTGTTTTATACTATGTAATGAGTTTAAAATACTATTGTGTTTTAAAATCATAAACAAGAAGAAATTGAATACCTTATACTTTTTAATTATACTTTATGTGATACTAGTTTTTGCCCGTGGCTTTGCTCGCGTTAATAAGTATTACTATTAAATACTATTTAAGCGAACGTTTTCATCATAGTAGCTCCAATCTTTATTTTCAGTTCAATATTCGAAAATCTAAGAAGATTTATACAATCTTTCATCCCCTATTTTATCCCCTTAGAGGGAGAATTTATCAAAATCCTTTCTTAGTGGATGCCTACGTCATAGCTTTATGCATGCAAAGTTTCAGCCCGATCGGTTTAAAATTGACAAAGTTTCATACAAACATTCATCCCCTATTTTATCCCTTTGGGGGTAGAATTAATCAAAATCCTTTCTTAGCGGATGCCTACGTCATAACATCTACCAGCATGCCAAATTTCAGCCCGATCCGTCCAGTGGTTTGGGCTGTGCGTTGATAGATCACTATGTCAGTCAGTCACCTTTGAGTTATATACATTTAGTTTAATAACCGGAAGTGGACTGTGAGATGCGCACGAGAACATGTAGTTAGGCCGACAGTTTTTACTCGACTTCGATCCAATAAAGCGTAATGTGTTTTGTTCCATAACATGCAAGTGTAATAATATGTTGTTGACGGCCTCGGTGGTTTAACCACCGCCTTACTTCCGATGGTCGCGGGTTCGATTCCTCGCACGGCACAAAAATTTTATTCATGAGTATGATTGTTTGTATCGGTCTGGTTGTTTTCTATGTATAATATGTATGTATTTACAAAAAAAATATATTTATGTATATGTATCAGTTATCTAGTACTCATAACACAAGCTTTAGCTAGCTTAACTTGGGTCTAGATGGCGCTGTGTAATTGTCCTGAGATTATTATTATTATTACTACTGATACTTAGACAGAAAGGTCATAAGTTTGAATTTAACTAACACAAAAAAACACTTAACTTGAGTGTCAATTTAAAATTAACATCACGCTATAACTTTTATACTTGTATGGTGGCAAGAAAACAAATATAATATTAATAATAATTATTCTATTCTATTCTATATTCTATTTTAACGTAGGCGGAACTATAATTCTCCATCTTACAATAAAAAACTCTACATACGAATATGTGTGCCAACAAACATAACCATAATTCAACTTTATAAAAATTCCAGCAAACGCGAGGAAAGTGATTATAAACCTGTTGATATATGAACAGGTTTCGTAAGTCGTAAGGTCCAGCGTTGCTTTCTCGACATGTGTAATGTAACACTGAACTTGGGTCAAGTTTGATGCTTATATTATTCAATACAACTTGGTCAGTAGCGTGAAATTAGCATTGCCTACTTTGGACTATATCGCCACATCCATATGAGAATTTTAGCTGACTCCGCAAAGATTTTGTCTATCGCATCGTATATTGCTCGGGTCAATGTGCTCCTTCTAATATAGTTGAGTGGGGGAAAGGGGGTTGTTAGTACTGTGAACTGATGATCATATTGCCAGCAATGTACCATGTCAGGTTGACCTCCACGCGGTTCCCCCTGGAATCCATCGTGATGAATTTTTAGTGAATTTGTCACGATGGGCTAACTGACCTGATCTCATGCTCATCTTATCATCCTCCACTGGTGCCCTGCTAGCGTAAATCGTTAGCGCAGGCGGGTGCACCATTCCATTATCATAATTCATAAAAAAATATATATTGTTGAGTGCAATGATGGCTGTCTCATTCGTCATACTCGTGAACGCTGGTTATAGGGACTGATCTATTAGGGCTAATGATTAAATAATTTCCTTTTGACAGAAATGCAATAGCATAGGTGGTCTCTAAATGGGAGTATTTAGACAATTGAATTCTCTATATTGTTAATCATCTACAAGCACATTTGAAAAGAATAAGAGCTTCTTGTCATCTCCTCTCAGCTCGAACTCATTCTGAACTGACGGTAGATTTGATATATCATAAGAGTCTATAAGAGCTTCTTGTCAGTTCTACTTACCTCGAAAGCAATCCGAACTGACGGTAGATTTGATATATCATAAGAGTCTATAAGAGCTTCTTGTCAGTTCTACTTACCTCGAAAGCAATCCGAACTGACGGTAGATTTGATATATCATAAGAGTCTATAAGAGCTTCTTGTCAGTTCTGCTTACCTCGAAATCATTCCGAACTGACGGTAGATTTGATATATCATAAGAGTCTATAAGAGCTTCTTGTCAGTTCTACTTACCTCGAAAGCACTCCGAGGTGACGGTAGATTTGACATATAAGAGTCTGTAATAGACCTACACGAATAAACATATCTTGATTTGATTTGAAGTTATATATCGTATCAGAAAAGAGGAGATCCGCAGAAGAACCAGAGTGATCGACATAGCCCGAAGAATTACAAAACTGAAGTGGCAATGGGCAGGGCACATAGCTCGTAGGACAGATGGCAGTTGGGGCAGTAAAGTCCTCGAATGGCGACTGCGGACCGGAAGAAGCGTGGGAAGGCCTCCAGCAAGGTGGACCGACGATCTGGTCAAGATCGCTGGAAGGCGATGGATGCGAGCAGCTCAGGACAGGTCGTTGTGGAGATCTTTGGGGGAGGCCTATGTTCAACTGAGGACATTTTCCAGGCAGAGATGATGATGATGAAGTTACATAAAAAATATCGACCTATACAATCGACGAGCAGTGTTTAGTTATAGACCGTTTTCTCTCG